GAATGGCCTCGAAAGTCTATCACTTTGGAAACTTTTCGATAAAATTAAGTACACTTATGCATAAAAGAGCTTCTAAGTCTAGGCCCGAATAAAACATAGAAAATTAGACTGAAAAGAAACTTGGAGGTGAACTGAACCACCAAGTTAACAATGGACTGGATACTTGCAATAGTTTACAAGTTAAAGAGTTTCCCAAATTGCCCGAAAATATGTACAGATGCCTGTTAATTGGTCTCAGAAACGTGGAGGAAAACATGGTAAAACAATTGCTTTTAGGTACTGTTTGGCCATATGTGACTGACTAAAAGCCTTAGGCCTTCGACCAATAAACAGGGCGGCCTTTAATTTAATAGTTTCCTAATAATAGTTATTATTTCCTACCACTATCAGAATCATCAAATTCCTCAGTCCATCGCAGTTCTGTGCTCCTCTGTATCGAAGCTCCCTCTTCAGCATTGACGCCGCTAAAGAAATCATCATCAAATGGATCGTTTTCCCTAGTGAATATATTTACAGATCCAGATTTCTTCATATTGACATCGTTTCTGCGGGCCGATAATCGACTTTTGTTCAACATTTTCTTGCGGCTGCTCGAAATCATTTTTACGCTCGGCGGACCGAACGAGTCCTCGTCCTCTTCGGGCACATCGGTCTCCTCTTTGATGCTGGAAATGCCGTTTCCTTCTGGCACGGAGTCCGGCTTTTCACTGGGCGAAAAATCGTCCTCGAATGGACTCCGTGGCTTCGGGTGGTAGCGGGGCGACAGTTTCGACTCTTGAAACGCTTCACTTTTGAATGACTTCTCTAGGCGCAGTTGGCTTTTATCGAAGATGCCGAGACTTTGTTGTCTCAGCCCTGAAAACCCCATCATCAGTGCTTTTTTTCCGATTCCAATAGGCTTCAGTCAAAAAAATACAGGAAAAACACGCATTTGCTTGCATCGGACGAAGGCAGGAAGGCACTTAAATGAATCGAACGGCAAATATTCATGTTCGTACGTTCTGTTGGTTCGAGGCGAACAAATGCGAGCTCCTCTTTACTTACCCTTCATGGATCTGTTCATAGCCGGAGCGTCTGCATCGGGCTTATCAAAGTTATTGTCAAAATTGAACTTGCTGCCCTTATCCTTGATGATCGGACTTTCGTCCGATGGGATGAAATCGTTGTCGAAAAGTGACTTCGTCCTAGTGGCCACTTTTCTAGGAAACGTGTTGGCTGGAGGCTCATCTTTAACACCAGCAGGCTCTTTGCCAGGTCGTTTCCTACCGGTGGGCAGTTTTTTATTGCCGATTTCACCATCGGGGGGCAGTTTCTTCAAATTAACGTCGGCGTATTCGCCCTCCACTGTTTTATGGGGCTTGGAGCGGTGTTGGCTTCGCAGGACTGCACTGTCCGGCTTATGTCGATGGGAGGGTTCGCTGAATTGCGAATCTCTGCTGCGCGACCTGCGGCTGCCTTTGTAACGTCGGTCGCGCTCTCCATCACTTCCCCCTGAAACGTTGCGAAATTGCCGCATAAAACTTGCATAAATCAACCTCGCGATCCTACCAGTGCCTAGATAATGGCGCGGCTTGATCTCGCCAGTCTTTCTGTCCATTTCGGATGCACTGCTGGGGCGTTGCTTCCAACTTTTCTTGGCTGCCAGGTAGTGAGAGTGCGTGTCCTCTGGATCGTTCGAGTACTCGTCTTCCCAAGGCGAGTCCTGCGATTCCCTGCTGCTTCTGTATCGTTCATCGTACCGTTCACGTCTTTCCGGTACGTTGGCCCGCCTTTGCAGGTAACGGCCCGTTTTGTCTGGAAGAGAGCACAAATTTGCTTGAAACTGGCAGGCCTTGCAGCAAAACTAAACCTCTACCATGCTCGCCTTCTTCCCAATCCGGGCAACACCATCGCTCTTTGCCCTCCTTCGCTCCACCTTCTCTCCTCCGCCGATGGCGCCGCTCTAAGCCATACTCTCCACCATAATCCTCCCACCTGTCCCCCTCCAAGTCTCTGCTACCAGCACTACTATGTCGTTCAGAGTCTTTCGAGCCATGTCTTTGGAAATAGTGGCTTCTGCCTCTATGTTCTTCGTCGTACCTACAATCAGCTTTAAACCATCAAAAAATTCAATTAAAAAAAATCCTCCTACTCATAGTCGTCGTCCTCATCCCAACTATCCACATGCTTGACATCGCGATGTCTATCGAAGGAGTGGCCTCTAGGATGGCGCCCCCACCCGGGCCGGCCCTCCCGCCTTCGAGGCTCCTCCTCCCAAGGGCTGACGTCACGCGAGCTGGACGAATGACCGCCCGTGGTTTGCTGACTGCCGTGTTGCCAGCCGGTTTGTCTTCGTCTGCGCGGGCGCTCATGCGTGTCGTAGTATTCCTCCTCATATGAGTCGGTGGAGCGGCGGTTTGACGGGTAGTATGGAGCTGAAGAGAGATTGTTAAATAAAGAAAATAGTGGAAAGGTTGAATACCTTCAGGGTCAGCAGAGGTGTCCCACCAGCCCTCTTGGTCGCGGTTTTTCTTCCTTCGTTCGACTGATTTCGGCTCTTTTTTCCACTCGGTCGGCGATCGGTTGCCGAACTCTTTCGAGTCGCTGGACCAGGGGCTGACGCCCTCCTCGCTTTGCGCCGCCCCCTGGATTTCTTTGCTCTCGGACGGAACGCTCGGTTGGTCGAAAATCGCCCACGATTCTCCTTGAGCATAAGAGAATCATTAGCCGAATTATGGTCGAGGCGGGCACAAGGTACCTCATAAGTTGACAAGTATTTACCTAAGTTGTAGATAAGTTCTATATTGTTTTTTACAAACTTCTTTTTGGGTATTTCGCCTAAAAAATTTTTTTGTCTTTAAAGTCAGTCAGTTTTTTTTCAGACAATTTGCACAGACGAATTATCAGAACGAATTTTCATATACTGTGTTATCCTACTATTGTTCCACAATTTATTAACATACTCTTTTTTTAGGTTCATTTAGGTTTTTTTGATAACGATAGCAGAAAATAGCTATCGAAACGTCAAGGTAATCTTTCAAATTAATTTCTCTACTAATTGGAATTTACTCTTACAGCTTGAGCCTAAGTGTGTCGCAGGATACCCTCTAGGTGATAGTTCTTGATAAATAATTCGTTGTTATTGCGAAATAGGAGCACTATTTATCAATCTGTAATAAAAGACGTGAGGAAATTCTGTCTCTTTTAAAGACAAAAAAATTTTTGAGGCGAAATACCCAAAAAGAAGTTTGTAAAAAAAAGTATTTACCTGCAGGATCCAGGTTTTTCTTCGCTATATCCGAGTTGCTTCCCGTATTGTCCACTTCCGGGGAACTGCCACTGAGCACATCGGATAGAGAGCCGGAAGTCAACCGGGCATTTGCCTGGATTATTTCCGTGATGGCGCTGGGCACTGGACTCTTCATAACTGGAGATCGAGCAGGCGATTTGTCTGGAGTGGCTCCCGTCCGGTCATTCATGTACTCCATAATGGTCTGCTTGGGCGGTTCTTGTACGGAGCGCTCCTTGTTCGCCACGTTAATGTCTTCGACCAGTTGGGCCAAAGTTTGCTCTTCGTCCAGCTTCGCTGCTTCACTCCTGCTGGCCTCGCCTTTCTCACCATCGGCCTGCTTAATTTCCACCTCCACTATCTCCCTTAGAGCGGCGTACTTGTCGTCATCAACCGGGGCGTCGTTTGGTGCCTCCGGCACCTCTTTTCCTGCCCGGAGCTCCTCCGGCTCAGCATCAACCCTGGTCTGCTTAATCTCCTCTTGCAGCTCTCTAAACACCGCATACCTATCATAGGAGGGCTCCGACTTCGAGCTCTTGCTGGTGTTGTTGAAGTTGGCCGCAAAATCCGCCTGGAACGTCGGCGTTTCACTGGTCTCATTTGCCTGCAGAGTCGATTGCGCCTTAATGAAAGTCGACAAGTAATTGGTCAGCTGAACCAGCGTCATGTTGCTAAGCTTGTGCGGAGGAATCTTCAGCTTGGCCGCCAGCTCATTGAGGCCGCTCAAAGTCAACTGACTCAGAGTCATGTCCAGGCCGTCCAGTGAGTTGCTCAAACCCTCATTACTAGTTGCAAAAGTCTTGGAGCCGTCCGGCTCGTCCTTCTCATGCCTTTGAGGGGGCGGCAGCAGGATACCCGGACTGTTTGATCGGTCAGGGAACGACACCGGAGTCAAATAGTCTTCATCGCTGGACTGCTGGTTGGCCTTCCTGGGACGCTCTGGAGGCAACGTGAAGTCGGACTCAAACTTGGACTTCCGCTGCGGCACTGGAAGCGGTGGACTGGAATTCTTTTCGTCCGGAAGATCTTTCTCGAAGGCTTCGATGTAGTCTTCGGAGTGCGGCGGCCGAGGCGGAGGCTTCAGGACGATATCGCTTTGCTTCTTCGGAGGCAACGGGGGCGGTTGGATTTCACCTAAAGTGGAGTGAGGCCGTGGAGGCGGCGGCTCCGGAATGCTCTCTGACTCTGAAGAAATCTCAACACTCTGAGCCTGCAAAGCGATTGCTGTATCTGACGCGAAACTCCCGAAATTATTCGTGTTGCTAAACTGCACAGTTTTAGGGCTGGACCTCAACATTGCAGGCTTCGATAGGTTGTTCTGTATCAGCACCTGCAACTCTTTGCTCGCTTGTTGCGTGGCAAATTCGGTTTCAAATGGGTCCTGTTTGGAGAAGTCCGAATCGGCAAAAGGGTCCTCCCGCACGAACGGATCCTCTCCGAAAGGATCCGATGCAAACATAGCGGTGTTTGAGTAGATTGGCGGCTTTGTCGGTGCGCTAGGCTGATTAAAATTGATATTAAACAGATCTTGAGCTGCGCTGCTATTCGTCGAGGCCAACTCTTTGAGCGGCTTTTTCGGCGGATTTTTCAGTTCTTGAAAGAAATGTTTCTTATCAATATATGGCTTACTTCTACCGGTACCTACGGTAAAATAAAATACTCGTTTTCATTTCATTTTGTCAGAATCTAACTACGGTCGAAACCAAAAATATAAACTCAAACTGAACTAAAGGAAAATAATTCGCTTTTGTTGTCTAACAGATTTTATTTTATTTTACCACAGATAGTCTTAGATATGGGTTAGTAGCTGATTGCAATGAAGGTGATTAAGTGTTTTGAAGGTTGTGGGCTATTTTTTTAGAGTTTTTATGGGAAAAACACGGAAGCATGTTTTACACGCTTACATGAAGCTCTTTGTCTCTTAAATTTTAGCTTTTAGCCATTTCAACTTCGCACTGGTGCGCTTCTAGGCCGTCGGGCTTCTAGGCCGTCGTGGAAAATAATTTCTTTCACATCTGAAGATGCAAGCCACTCGTGCTTGCAAAACGTGTGGAAGAAAAATCCCGAAAAACTCACCAGTGAGTAGGTTCCAACAGTAACTGAAACTGGCGAGTTTTTTGGGGTTTTAGGCCGAAGCTCGATAACTACAACTGGGTAATCAGGTTGAATCTGAACTATTTTGCATCAGTCAGGACGGGACGTACAAATGATGGGTTAAGCCCGTGTCCACGTCGTACGACGACGGACGAATTGACAGATCTCCAACCAATAGGAACACTTTCGTACCATCGTATCATCGTACAAACGGATGCATGGGACACGGGCTT